ATATGCAGATGCATAATACTTTACAATATTACTTATTAAATGATGATAAATACACTACAATAGTATTTATTAAGTGATGATAAATACACAACCGTACTGTACTAATTTACTAAGTGTTGAAGACAGACATTGTGGTAAGCCTGTAGTGGATTTCTCCCCTACAAATGCTGTTTGTCGCTGAGTAGCCGACCCCGCGAATTCCACAGTGTGTGCCTCGTGGTCTAGGTCAACCAGCGCCGCCTTACATGACGGAGGTCAACTACTAAGCCACGCCTACCTCCGCTATTTAAGACCTGACCTCGTGGTGACCACTCTCTTTTCTACCTACACCAACCAGCCAGCAACACCTCCTCCTCCTCCGCCTGCCTGGCGGTCCTCGCTCCCGCCGGCGAGCAGGCGACCCACAAGCTGTCCTCCTATGAGCACCCTCACCAACCAGCTCTCTCTACATCACGCTTGTAACCACGCTGCCACTTCCCAGCACCAAGCTGCATTGTACATCCAATACAACATGTATACAGAGAGCACATTGTGAGTTTCCTTTCTCCATCCCATCCTGAGTGTGAACCCAAACATACCATTCCCCACAAGCCGATCAGCTGTTTGCTCTTTGTAAACAAATGAGTATGAAATGACTCATGAAGTTCAGTGTGGGATTCTTTTTTCAGTAAAGCTGATTCTTTTAGGATAACATTTCGATAATATTTTATCAACCTGACACCAAATGATCCTAAATTGTATGAGAATTGTGGTGGAATTACATAAAGAAGTGTTAAAGGAGTCTTGTGGGAGAGAGAGCCACCCACCCATGCTACCCCTCTACCAGCTGCTCAGATAGACATTCGTCTTCCTCATACAATATACTCCTACACTTATTTGCTGTTATTTTTAGCTTTATAGTACTGTACAGTATACAGTTTTCTCTTTATTCATAAGACAAATTCTGTGGTTATTTACATATAACACTTTACAGTAAATAACAATCATCTCAGTGACAACAGAGTTGTTGACAACCAGACTTATATGTCTGATTTTCATCCCAGAGAGTTTTGTTTCATATTTTTTTTTGTTGATGTAAGATTCTTTTAATAACCTTGTCAAACACTTAAAAGACCTTAGTTGTTAAAGTGCAATAATAACATAACAACTGATTTTCTTTAAACAGTTCGGAGAAGCAGTGTTATCTCCACCCCCCCCCCCACCCTGCTCCATATATCCACTTTTTTTGGATTGGGGTCTGCCCCAATTAGTCCGATTTATCGAGGTTCTACTGTATATATAGCTAGCTAAGGCAGCCATGACCATTTTTTTCTCCAAATCACTTATTTCTTATTAACCCCTTGTGTACAGGCTCCCCTCTCAGCTGAACAAAATTGTCTGGCATAAGCCAAATAAAATATCATAAGTGGTGTCCCCATAATGAAGGGGTTAATAACAAAGCAAGTTAATAAAGCCTTATTATCTGCACATATATGTACTGCTGTAGGAAAAATAATTGTTTTATAGTATTTCCTCTCTAAATACTCACCAGGTGCTCTTATTACATTCGTCCAATGAGCAGTAGCCAGCGTAAACAATGTCGGTCAGCTGTAACGTGCACTGCAAGTATACCAATTGTATATGGAGAACAAAATGCAGTAGTATTATATTATCTTCTTATTCTTTATTTGTATATGTTAATTAACTTGAGTTGAGATGTTGACCCCTTGTTTATGGGGGGGGTGGGGGGAAGGGGGTTGCTCTGAGCTGAATAAAACTGTCTGGCATTAGCCAAGTAAAATATTAAAAGCAGCATCCCGTAGTGAAGGGGTAAAAAAGATGAATGATGAAAAAGTGGAGGTTGGAGTCAGCTGTCATATCATCTGCAACTATGAGTATGGTTTAGATAACACTTTTAAGTTAATAAAATGTTGCATAACTTGAGTACTATGACACCAGTCATCCTGCATCCAAATTATCTAACAATTCTATTGTATCTCAGTTCCTTAGTGGTGATGTTGATTACCAGCTGCACGATGACTCCAACCTCATATTTTGTCTCTGGTTTCATAACTAAATTCACTTTTGGTACATAGACATGTGCTGCCACAGGAAAAATAGTTAATTTATTGTACTTCCTCTCAAAATAATCACAACCATTATTATTACGTATGTCCTGTGAGTGGGAGCCAATATAAACAATGTCGGTCACGCTCTAACACAAACAGCCAGTCTATCAAGCATCCAAATTTTATTTATTTATTCTTAAATTGTATAGGGAAAACAAAATGCTGTAGAATTACTATATTTTCTTAAACTTTATCCATATATCCAAATCAACTTGAGCTGAAGTGCTAAAAGATAAGGATAAAAAGTGGAGGGTGGCTGTCGTATTGTCTGCTGGTATGAGTATGGTTCAGTAAAATATACTGACTTAGATCATTATTTTTAAGTGAATAAAAAGTCAAATAAATAACTCAAACTGACACGACACCAGTAATACTTTATTCAAAATAACTAGCAAACTATCATACTTCAATATTTTTGGTGGTGGTACTGTGTCTGTCAGGTGTACAAAGTTCTCAACCTCATATTTTATTGCTGGATTTGTTAATTTACTAGTTTCACCTTTGCTAGACTCCCTTTCAGTACAGAACTTATGTTATCACCGCCCTCATAAGCCGCAACCTCTGACTCCCATGTGGCCATGCGACCTGTGACCTCGCCAGATGTTTGTAAACGTCACAGCTATCGAACGAGCATTTCGTTATGACCATAGATAGGGGCTCGAGACACCTCTGGCACACAGTATCGTTCAACCCCATCAAGTGTACGCACACTCATTATAGCTAGGAGTTACCTAAAGCGATACTAGGAGTTAAGTGGAGCTATAAGCCCACACATGTGAGTGAAAGAACACAGTGATTGTTTGTATTATGGTGAAATGTTGTGAATTACATATGTGCTTAGTGTAAGGCAATTTGGATAATAACCATACAGAATAGTGTGTTTACTAACTGATCTATAATGTATACATGTAATGGAATGTAATCAGTAGTTAACAAGTGTCTCACTTCTCCAGGTTTTGACCATATCAATCAATAAACGATAATTGAATCCATGTTGCGGGTTTCTTTCGCCCTTAAGATGTGACGTCATCTAACTGTCGAATCATTCGGCAGTTAAAACTTAGATCTGTGGTGCTGCAGGCAAAATATATAATTTATTTATGAACAGGAAGGATGAATCAAGTGGAGGGTGAAATTAGTTGGCTGGTAAATCGACTGCAGCTCTGAGCCTCTCGGAGCAAACATTATCTTGGAGATTCTGACATTTGAATAGCCACACTTGTAAAATAGTTTATCTATGGTAACTGCTTTGGCTTCACCGAGGTTTTTTTTTATTTTGCACATGGCCTTTTTATATTTGCTATCACCATTAAATTTACCAGTAAAAATATACTGGTAAAGTATGTAGTAAGTGTGGAGCCAGATAGTGGACAATTATGTAGTTCTACATACTGTATATATACTACTGTCAAAGACAAACAAACATTCTATCTACAGTAACAATATATAATACTGCATATAGATTTGTATTATGGGATTGCATTGAAAATATTAATTTATAAAATATGTTAAGAGTTGTTTTGATAAAATGTGCTTTGAGGAAATATTAGTGTGTTTAACCTACTCCAGTGTGTTGTTTGGCATCGGCCTTTAAATATTGTCACTGAGATTTTTACGCATTTAACCATAATATCTCTTGTGTTAGATTGCCATCTTTATGCCAAGCTAGTGCAAAGAAAATAGTACAAATACTGCCCCTCCCCCCCAATTAAGCTAAATTGAATGTCTATATACTGTACTAAACTGTACAGATGGGTTCCCGGGTTTCGTTCATGAGGACGTTCTTAAGTTGGATTTGTACGTAATTCAGAACACATACTATGTGCATACCGTACTTACAAAACAATGTTAAAAATCCCACTACAGTATATCATAGCTTTAGTTGTTATTTACATCTAAAGTCACTTAATTTAAAACAAAAGAAGAAATAGAATGGACAAAATACAGTAAATGAACGTAAAAAATAAGTCATCAGGTAAATAGAATACTGTAAATTTAAAGTTTAACCCCATTCATAAGTCGGGGACCCACTGTACTGTAAGATATTCATTACAATATAAGATGTGTGTTTTTAGGGTCAGGAATGGGAAAAAAGGAAACCTCTCATTAACAGAGGGATTACTGCACACACGCACACACACACATCAAACTTAGGATACCTTTACAGGTTGGGTATCCTTTATCCGAAGTGCTTGGGGCCTTAAATGTCTCGGATTTGGGATATTTTCGGATTCAGGAATACTGCATCTATATCTTGTATACAGAACCTGTATACTGCGGTAGCTCACCCAGCATGGATGGGGCCCAAGTCTATGTACAAAATTAATTTTTATTTCATTTACAGTATATGGATACATATATTCTGCAGGTAGCTTTATGAAATATAATTGAATAATTTTGGGTATAAAATATATAATAAGATGTACACTAAAGACACAAAAAGATAAGCAATCACTACCATCTGTTTGGCATCGCCATGATGCCTGACTCTGAGGTACAAAGCAGCCTGTGTCTTACCTTTATTCATTACATATACAGTACATACTTACCCTAGTAAAAATTAGGATATAGGCATATATAATGATATAGACTTTCGGGTTTCACAGCATTTCGGACTTGGGAATTTCGGATAAGGGATACCCAACCTGTATCACTAAACAGAAATCAAGATTATCTGCAAAGAGGATTACCCAGTATCAAAGCTGTGAAATAATTTATATAGTCTTCTCTTTTCTTTTGTCAGCATCTCCAAGTAAGAATGTTTGCTAGTACAAGACTTAATTTGACTGAATAAGTGGCATCCACATTGCAGTACATAATCTATCCTGCCTAGCCATAGGCTGCACTTCAAAGGTTAATTCAAAATTCTTTCCAGTACTGTATAGTACTAACCTGATCAAGGAGAAATTCATTAGTAGCTCTGAGGTCTGAAACTTCTTTCTTAAGAGAAGAATTTTCTTTCTTCAAATTATCCATTTGCTTCCTCATAAGTAGAATCTCTTCCAACCCCCTCCTGTCCCTTTCCTTATCACGTTCTCGGTCTCTATCTCGAAATTCTCTCAGACTGATGTCTCTCCCAAGGATGTCTCTTCCTATCTCTTCCATGGGAAGTATAAAGTCTCCCTCTCTCTGAAATTCAACTGGCAGTAGCTTGGGTTCTTGCCTATGTCGTTTAGGGTCGGGTGGACCGAGGTTTCCAAGCCGGTCAGGGTTGACTGTACGATCATAATGGTTGGTCCCTTGATCAATGTCTCTATGACTGGTGCCATAGATCTCTTGTTCATACTCCAGCTGAGTCAAGTGTCGGAATTTGCATTTTCCTCCTCTTCTTCTTGAACATTCTCCCATGAGATAGTCCTGTTAACAGCAATACTGTTCAAAGCCCAATATGAATACGTAATACACAAAATTGATAAGTGATATCAAAAATTAAATTATTATGAATGATGTACAATGTGAAAAAACAGAAACTGTGAGATGGAAAATAATTTACAAATGATCCAAACCCTGTTGCCTTTGTCTAGGCTGGGAACACAAAGGCACAATACCAGTAATGTACTGAATAGTTGATATGAGAAAGCAGAATTTTCCATAAATATTAAGAAAGAAAACCCATAGAAGATTTGTGGCTTTAAGTCATGAATCAAGTGGGCCACAGTGACCCTAGGAGGAGAAATATACACAAATGTTCTTAAAAATAAACAAAGGCTAAGTTAATAATTCTTATATCATCAGATATACAGTCAACCCTCACTTTACGCGGTTAATATAACCCACAGGGTACCGCAGAAAGTGAGAAACGCGTAAAGTGAACAACATAACATATGGGATTAATTGAAATAGAGACCGGGCCGACCCCCAAACTCCACTTTTTGACGACACATTACTATGTTGTAGTAAAAATTTTATCTTAACTTTATGATGGTATGCACAAACAATTAATATAGAAGAGGTTAGGTTAGGAAAAATTAAGGTTAAGTTAGGAAAAATAAAGGTTAGGTTAGGAAAACTAAAAGTTAGGTTGAACACTTACGTTAGTAGAAGAGATGGGTCGACATACGGGGATGGAGGCTGGTTCCGAGGCAGAGGGCAGGCTACTGGCCCTCAGGTGAGTCATCATCACTGTCATCCACACTTGTCAGGGCCTCCCTGACAAATCCCTCAAAGTCATCTTCACTGTCTATACCTCTGTCACTATCACTGGCTGTGGTGGGTTGCGGGTGAAGAACTCTGTTATGCTTTGCTGACGGCTGGTGTTTATGTTGTCGTGATAAACCTTGAAGTAGGGCTCCATAGTCTGCAACAGCTGGGTAGTGAAGATTTCATACCTGTTTGCGTCATGGTCGTCGGAAAGGAGGAGCTTGATTTTCTCGACACACTCGATGGCACCCCTAACATTACTATGGGATAAGCGGTGTTCTTCTTGGGATGACGCACCACCTGCCTCTTCACTGACGTCATCATCATCTACCATCTCGTCGGTAGTCACATCAGGATCCCTTATCACCTCCAGGATGTCGTCGTTGGTGGTCTCGGAGAAGCCTGCAGCTGTAACACTCTGCGCAGCTTCTCTGGCAAGGTCCACTGCTACTGCAACAGTCTGAACCTCACCAGTCACAGATTGACTCTGCCTTACGCCCGGAATGCCTTGCAACACATGTCTCCATGCGTGACGAACAGTAGCTATAGGCAGCTGATCCCATGCCTCCACCAAGAAGTCCACAGCTTTCTTGATGTTGAATATTCTCCAGAATTGTTTGAAAAGTATTTTTTGCACTGCCAACTGTTGATCCTCGTCTTCTTCGCTCTTGCTATCGGTGGTGGTGTCACTCTGGTTACGCAACTCTTCCCTGGTGTTGGTGTAGTCGTTCAGGAGCTTGAATTTTTTTGTTGAGAATGCAGCTTTTACATTACAGATTAACTCTTGGTCCATGGGCTGTAATATAGACGTTGTGTTGGGAGGAAGGAAGACCACTTTTACGTTGGGGTGACGATCTAACAGTAGGGGCGAGTGTCCTGGTGCGTTGTCCAGCAGCAACAAAATCTTGAATGGCACATTCTGTTGCTCACAGAATTTCTTTACATCGGGAACGAAACAGTCATCAAACCAGGAGAGGGACAGTGGAGAGAACATCCACGCCTTACGTGAGGTCAGCCAATGGACATTTAGCTTGGTCATGTCCATGCTCTTGTAGGCGTGCGGCTTGCAGGCTGTGTGGATCACCGATAACTTGAGCTTACAGATACCGGAGGCATTGGTGGTAAACAGGACGGTGATGCGCTCCTTCTGCATCTTTCGGCCCCGAATCTTGCTGGCATTCTTCACAACGAAGGTCTTGGAAGGCAGCTTTTTCCAAAAAGGACCAGATTCGTCCATGTTAAACACCTAGTCGTCGGTGTACTGTCATTCCTCCATAATTTCACGTAAAAACGGAGGAAATTCCCTAGCCATAGCACGGTCAGCACTAGCTTCTTCACCACCAATGTTTATATTGGTGATCTTGTTCCGCATCTTAAACCTCTGTAACCACCCAGAGGAAGCATTAAAGGGTTTGGGCTCTGTAATTCCCATCTTTCGTGACACTGCAGCATACAGTTCACGTGCGTACTCCTTAACAGAGCGCGTGTCCACCGCCATGTTCCGTCGCGCCTGACGCACCAAGTAGCTCACAAGTAATTTTTCCGTCTTGAGAAGCACCTGGTTGTGAAAATACTTGATCATAGAAGCACCTGTAGACTTTGTGATGTTCATGTGCTCCTTTATCTTGGCTGCAACCTTCTTTATCGTCTGGATCGTAGATTCGTTCACACCATGCTGGCGCGCCAAATCAACCTGTCTTGTTCCTTTCTCTAAGTCTTGGATGATCTTGTACTTCACCTCGTAGCTTAATGAACGTCGTGTCTTCTTGGGCTTAGGGCGGCTGGGTCCAGGCAAGGAAAGGTTTCTCTCTGGGGGCGGTGGTCCGGAGGAAGCCATTTTACAGAACAATGGATGCACGATTACACGGTGTGGCCTGGAGGGATGAAACTGCCGCGGCTAGGTCAAGCGTCGTCTTTCCTCCCTCCCCCAGGTGGACACGTCATATTACTTTAAACCAATTACAGCTAGCAGTGGAGGGAGGTAGGGATGCATGGCTAATCACAGTCCGATACGTCATATGACGTCAGTGATAACGCAACAGACATGCACTGCGCAACCTTACCATGCGGCTTGGCCAGGCGGAGGAGGGAGGAGGCGGGAGCAGGCGGGTGGGGCGAATCTAAAAATAGCGTCGAGCCGGACACTCTCCGCATAAAGGGGGTACACGCACAGCGGAATGTGAGCATCCTGGGTTCCGGCAGGGTACCGTGGAAACGCGGAATGTGGGACCGCGTAAAGTGAGGGTTGACTGTACAGTACTATATGAACACATTCTGTACTATGAATTAATCCACATGTTGGTTGAATCAGTAAAATTTGTGAGTAACTGATTGGTTCATAATGAAAACACAAGAATGTGTTGAAGAGAGATGCTACACGATTGCAAATCTAGATGAGAAAAGGTAAGTGAACTATAATATTTCCAGGCTAACCTGGCCCGTAAGCACTGCCCCTCGCCCATAGCTACAAATAGCTGATTGGTTCCCTGAGCGTTTTATCCCCCCCCCTCGATTGCGTGTATATAAGTGCATATTAATATCGACCTTTTATAATAAATATTTAAATTTTTCTAACATTCTCCCTAAAGTGCTAATGCCTTGAAATGATTTGCTTTTTGGTAATCCATATATTTAACATTATTTTAGATAATAAGAGGTCTGCTTAACAGTTGTGAACACATTTACTTTGAATTTTCTCTGAACCAATCAGATATTAGTATAGAGTAGGGGTGGGGCCTACAGGCCAGGTTAGTGTGGAAAGGGTATAGGTTATGGTTCACTAAGGCACTGTGCTTTTATTTAAGATTTTTTTATTATCTTTTTTGTTACCCTTTATTCTATCTACATGCACTGGGCTTTCATTTTAGGGTTTCTTGTTATGGGTATCTTTTATTTACCACCCTTTATCTTATATACTACAACATCTAACTTCAGGGATGGCCACAGCCCTCCAAGCTTCTCTGTAACTCCATAAAGTCCTTCTTTCCCTTTAATCCTTTCTTGTTCTAACACTGTACCTGTTTTACCTGCACTTATACTACAAATGTAGCATTAAAAAGGTCGAGTCTACCCTCAAGTCTACTCCGTGCTTTGTTTTTAATAAAGCACGGAGTAGACTTGATGGTAGACTCAACATTTTTAATACTACATTTGTTTCTGATCATTTGTGAGAGTATTTTCCCACTATTATTTATTTGTATATGTTTTGTGTGTGTGTCTACACATAGGAGGGGTGGGGGGAATGACAAATTTGAACTGAACATAAAGTCCTCAGGGCAATTGTGGGTTCACAGGTCCTAGACAGCTCCTAACACAATTTTGTGAAGCGGAAGGAGTGGTGAACGGACAGCCTATTACACCAGTCTCAGAAAACGGCAGAGACCTGGAGGCCCTTACACCCTCACATTTTTTGCTCATGAAGCAGAGCACCGATCTCCCTCTGGGTGGTTTTAGTATTGGGGAAGCGTAACCACAGACAGTAGAAACATGCGCAGTTCTTGGCGGATCAGTTCTGGAAGCATTGGCTCAAGGAATACCTATCTTTGCTCTGTCAGCAGCAGAAACACTTCAAACCTTGTCACAACTTTCAACAAAATGCCCTGGTCATTGTGACTGGAGAACCACTGCCTTGGAACTAATGGCAGCTAGGTAGAATAATAGAGGCGATGCCCAGCGATGAGTTTTATAACTTTGCAAGCGGCCAGTATGGGGGTGGTAAGAGAAATGTTGTTTGTTATACTAAGCGAACAGGCACTGGCTCAGTCATACTATAATGAGGCCAGGGGGTAGACTATGCTGAATCAGCTTGATGTATTTACCCGGGTCTTGAGGCGCTAACATATAACCACCAGTACCTCTCAACTGATCGCCTTAAACACACCCAAGCTTTTTGCTCTGAGCCAGACCTGCAACAAGTAAGCATACTCGTAAACCTTTTGTGTTTCATTGTGGACGTGAAGAATATTAATTGAGCAACTTCTGATGATATGTAGCTTATATTGTGTTACTATTAAGACAATGTAGTACTCATTTGTGTGCTAGTGTAAGGTAAATGTATTCATATCTGATATGTTACTTAAGCTTCAGTTAACTCTTGTAGATTAATTATTTGTTTTTGACAGGTTTGACTGAAATAAACTGTATCGAGTTGACGTGGCAGGTTAATCTCGTTACGGGTCAATTATACACTGTGTTTTGCAGTTCATATTCACTCAATGCTGTGCATAAAAATACAGTAAATATCATGTTTACATATAAAGCATAAATAAATTAGTATATTATTATCATCATTAATGATGACAAGTTAACACATGTTAATAATAATGACTGTGACTTAAGTGAAGCATAAGCTCTCCTGCACTTCAATACGGTATGTCAATAGTGATGGAAAAAAATGCAAAATATTCCGAGCCTTAATCTGTACTAAAGTGCAAGTTTGAATACCTCCCAAGCCTGCCTAGTCCTTGACATGGGTGTTAACCAGGAATAAAAATATTACTAAAGAAAAATATATCAAGAACAGTTGAGTATATATGGTACATTGTACATAATTCTGAAACCCTGCAACAAGACAGCTTGACATTATATTTTTACCTTGCAAATGGGAACATCACCATTGAGTGTGACATCTCCAAGTTGTCCTTTGCGAATGGCCTGATCAAGAACGTGCGGAGGAATGTCTCCTGTACGCAGATAATAGTCCTCATCCTCACAAGTGCAGTGAATAAATCTACCAAAGACAAACAAATTACTGTGCATATTTCATGTTGTCAGTCGCAATTTACAATATATCAGAGTTGCCATAAAACCTTGGCACATAACCCCAGAACATCTAATAATACAGTGGCCCCTCGTTTAACGAACACCTCGGTTAACGTAATTTCGATTAACGAACTGCCTTCCATAAGGATCTTCAATTCGGTTAACGAAAAAAAATTCGATTTACGAAGTTCTTACGAACCGACCTCAACATGTTTTCGCTTGCACTGACCGGGCAACCAGCTTTAGTATCAGTCCGCCAATACATTAATCGGTTCTAGGGCTTGAATTCCTTACTATTTTAGTAAATATCAAGAAGTTTATACTTTTCAATAATTTTAAAAGTTTAATATTCAATTTTTAGTCATTTTAACAATTATTGAACATAATTTAAGGTAAAGTGACTAGTTTAATCCGCAGCATTCAGCCTCTTAACACAGCAAACAGGAGTTAGTCTCTCTCTGTTTTCACTGGAGGTAACATCTTGCTTGAGACTCTCTTCAACTAAACGCTTTTTTCTGTGTTTCCAAGCAAATTATTGGTCACTTTGAAATATATTTTACATATTGACAATATATAATGCAGTGCAGTGTTGATTTAAAGAAAATAATCTTGAATTACACCAAGAGAGCTAAAATTTTATGGGTGAAATGGCGCCATGGGGTGACTTCTCTTCCACCCCAATGCCTTCTCTTCTTCCTTCTCCTCCACCCCCATTCTAAATCCCATCATCATCATCATCATCCAGGAGCCTTCTACATACACACCTGAAAGTAAGTGAACTTTTCTACCATTTTTGTTGAATTTAGGAAATTTTCGGTGAGCTGGAACCAATTACCCAAAAACCCATTGAAACAATGGTTTCGGTTAACGAACTTTTCGGTTAACGAACGACCTTCTGGAACGGATTGAGTTCGTTAACGGAGGGGTCACTGTATAGTCAAGATCAAACTTGCTTAATATTACATACTGTACAGTGTGCTTTTAGTGCACAGACACTAAACAAGTTATACTTCATGGGACAATACTACCCCAAATATAAAGGAAAAGTTACATTTACAAATTAACAATGCAAAATTATAATTTGACTTACCTACACATGGGACGTGTGCAATGGCCATTCTGGTAATCATGGCAGAAGGTCAAGTCAGCCTTAACCTGAGTTAATGCTTGAGGTCCATGTTCCCCATCATCTGGATGACGGAACTTACATCGCTTCCCCCGACGGCAAACATTACGTAAGAAATCCCGACAGATGTTGTCATCATCTCCTGTTCTACCTCCACCTCCCTCATCCTTAGCGTGCCCATTCATTCCCTCAACCATTTCATGATGCTGCCTGGAAATCAGTTTCACACAATTTATTGTATGTGTGGCAAAGTGGACAACTCAACTAGGCACACACCCAGAACTGATGAATGTGAATAATCTTGAGGCTAAAGACTCACTCTGTATATTGTATAAACAAGAAGAGGATGAGTATGAATGCGTGAAGCATTTTTAATTTTTATCGTTGGCCTTTCCTGTTGCTTTCTACACTTGTCTTACACCACTCTCCCCAATGTTTCCACAAAGTTATTACTACTGTACATTCATTATCTTTTCACAATCAATTTTATTTTAGAATTTGTGATTTAGTGTTTATAGTAAGTAAGATGCAGTACAGTACTGGGTAAAAAAAAAAACTACAGTTTGAGTGACAACCCTAACTGTAGTTGCTGACTTTTGAAGTTTGTACTAAAAAACAAGTGATATATCCATTAGTTGGAATAATTGGGGCAGAGCTCTTCCAGGAAAGAGAGATTTCCGGGTCTTGAGACGAATTTCTCTTCCCTGGAATTATTCCGGGTACAGAAATTTCCCTGTCGGCAGGAATAATTGGTGCAGAGCTCTTCCTGGAATAAGAAATTTCCAAGTAATTTATGAATCTTTCAAACCCAGAAAATTCCAACATCCACGGAATTTTTCAGAGTACAGTACTTTAGGGGGAAAAGTTTCTGAGAGTATAAACTGCACATCTCATCATCTCGTCTCGCACAGACAAACACTCTCTCATTACATTTAGACAGCAGGCACAAGCAAAAATATTTATGGATAGCGAAAAAGTGTATATTATTCACAGCAGCTGATCTAATTGCATTAGAGAGATGAATTTGGTACAGTATCATAATCCCAAATAAATCTCTACAAGGCCATTTCAATAAAAGATTCATCACAAAATATTTTGACACAATATAATAACGAAGACTCAATTTTTTTATGAAAAAACACAAAATGTTTATGCGGGAGTTTATTAAATCAGTTCCAAATAAGTTAGAAACACTTTTTTTTATCCAAATAATCCTGATTAGTTTACCTTAAAGTTTGGTTTAAGAAATATACAGCATTAAAAAAAAAAATAATCAATATGATACGGGCATGTGAATCGTGAATGAAGCAGTGTGTCACAACCAAGACTAGAATTTTCCACCCTGCACTGGGGTAAGTTTCCCCAAAGTCTAAACTACGCATCCCACATGGGCAAACATAAGAGGTGTACAATATTTATTTACCCAAACACCACTGCCTGTGTACAATATATTATTTAATGTCGACTACAACAGTACTGTATATACTGTACAGTAGTACACACCAGTAGATGCTGTCATCTTGAGCCTCGATAACCAATGCATTAGGAGCCGGGAAAAGTCGTTGGTTAGTGAATCAACGGTTATCAAAGCAATTAATCTCATAAGAACAAAACAAATTCAGGGGGTTAGGAACTGGCCACCCTCCAAAAATTCCCATCTACCCTTGATATATCTCTGTACTGCACACCTTCAAGCAAAAAAATAAAGAAGACATATAAAGTAAACATAATAAGCCTTAAATAAGCAATGTAAAGCTTATATTGAGACCTTTATTTACCTGTGTTGAGGGTGGTAGATTTGTCTAGGATACCAAGTTCAAGTCTCTACCACTCTTTGCCAATCATTGGATGTCCGGGGAATCAACGAAACTTGCGGGTGTATTTCCCCTACGTGAAATCGTCAGTGCAAATCGGCGGTCAACGGGACATCAGTTATCAGGGGGTAAACCTGTATGTACTTGGTTGAATAAAAAAATAATAAAAAGTGAATTCTGTACAGGTGGAGTTTAATAAGGGCTATCCTCAAGGTAAAGAAAATTTTTTTTCCACTTAGTACAAAGTCAAATAATAAATAAAGTTGAGGCACATATCAATGGAGGGAAAAAAAGTAAAATTTGTGTTTTTCTGTATCATTTACTGTGAACCTTGATGCTTTGGTACTTATATTTTCTAGTGTCAATACTCAGTACAGCTATTCATCTTTGAAAAATGAACTTAACACATTGGGGAAAAAACATTATAAAAGGAATATGGGGATAGGCAGTGTAAGTGGGGTCAAGTACAGTATGAAAATATACAGCAAGTATACAGGTATAAAAGGAATACTGTTGAACTACCGCTGTTTTTGGCTTCCCCTTTCCCGTAGTGGCATGAATGTGGGAGAACAAATATTATGTAGTAACTAAGGCTTTTAAGGTTTACAAAATAATTCAATATGTTTATTAAGATAAATGTGTTTGTATTGTCTGTTTTATTTGGTTTCACCCAAAATGATTTCAGGTGAGGCATCAATATTGGACCTCAAATATTGGCTATATGTAATTTACATGAAAAATGAATTTACAGTGATGTATAATTTGGTTGCAGGGCATGATCCCTGCTTCTGGTGGCAATTATGACAACATCTGAGTTCCTCAGACCACTTTACCTGCAGAATCCCTGAGTTACAATTATTTTTTCAGTATTGTTTTACTTTCAGACAACATGGGAATCTTAGGAATTTTATCTTTACTATAAGTACTGTAGTTTCAACAATTCTACGGCACTTTTCTTCTATGATATTTTCCTCGCGAATGACTTATACATGTTGGGGAACCCAGGGGAGGGAGTTAGGTTAGGTCAGTTGTGAAGGAAACGTCATAGAAGAAAAGTGTCTTAGAATTGGCTATTATTTGGACCTTGACTGTTCCTACATAGGCGGCCAACTTTGATATTATTTTGCTCAATATTTGATCTTTAATTCAATGTAGATAGTCTTTTTTTTTTTTAGAAAAGATTAGAAAATGGTTTTCTCAACTTCCGAGCTGAGACTCAAGAAGTAAAAAAAAATGTGTTTACGTTACTATGACTGTGTCCATTGAAAAGCAACAAATATTGAGGAAACTGATACCCAAATTGAGGAAATGATTAATACCTAAAGTGATTTTTGTTATGAAAGTCAGTTTTTTCAGCGGGGAAAGTTATCGACAGAAGATGGTATCGACCTAGTCCCTTTGAATGGTAGGGTTAAGTTAGGTAGTGAGAAATTGGGGTTGGGGGGGGTGGGGGAAGCCACCCAGTTACGCTTCCAGTTATGGTTTCAGGTTCCTCAATATTTGTTTCTTTTCAGTGGAAAACAGTCATACTAACTTTTTTTTTCTCAACTCGGAAATTAAAAAGCATTTTTTTTAGCATTTCCTGGAAATCAGACAAGCTCCATTGCATCCAAATATTTACCTTAGGATTGTTTAAACGAATGATTGCAAAGATAATATCCCTTAGTTTTCTGTGTTTTCCGAATGTAAAAATTTTCTTATTTTTGTTTTATATTTTATAATTAAAAAAAGCATTAATTTGTACAGGTACTAGTTACCCACATTTCAAAAGAATTTTTGTGCCAGATATGGTACCTTCTATGTTATTCTCATAATTTAAAAATAATAGAAGCTCAAATTAACTCTTTCATTTTTGGGTGTCTTAATGACACCTGTTGGGAATAATTATGACATCAGATGATGCAGTGGAAGGGCTAAGTTGGTATTTTAGGGGTATTATTATTGTTTCGGGGATCCAGCGATTAGGCTGAATTACGCATGTGCTAGGCTGAATTATGTATGTGCTCGAGTTTGACACATGCACAGTTGTTCTTTGCAAGAATCTGACATTCATTGGTGGGTATTATTTTGAATCAACCAATCACAGCACGGTATAGGCCCCCCACCACGACCCCCTTAAAATTAAATCTATTTCCAAGATGTCATCCTTGTGCAAAGGCTGTGATATAGATTACAGTACTTCCAAGCAATCACAAGATTTTACTTTGAGTCTGAACATCGAGCGTCTGTAGAGGGATATCAAGGAGTAGGTGAAGCGACCTGGCAACAAGTCCGCCTACTTTAAGCATTACTTGACGCGCTACTTGTTTATCACGCAGTTCAGCGGGGACAAGCTTTTACAAAAGTTCTTCGTCACTGCCGGAAAGCTCTACCCCCCAATCGGAGAAACAACGGCCAGTGCAACCTGTGTATGATGAGGAGGACAACCCCGATGACCCCCAACTCACAGTCTTCAGAGTAATTAAGGTAAGCACTACTGATTCCAAAACTTAAAATCCGGGAATTAGGAACCTTGAGTACAGAGACAGGTTAAAGCATCATAATTTCATAACACCATCTGTGAGGGAATTACTACACCACGTGAGGCCCCTCATAACACCATCTGTGAGGGAATTACTACACCACGTGAGGCCCCTCATAACACCATCTGTGAGGGAATTACTACACCACGTGAGGCCCCTCATAACACCATCTGTGAGGGAATTACTACACCACGTGAGGCCCTCATAACACCATCTGTGAGGGAATTACACATACACCATCTGTGCCCCTCATAACACCATCTGTGAGGGAATTACTACACCACGTGAGGCCCCTCATAACACCATCTGTGAGGGAACTACTACACCACGTGAGGTCCCTCCTAACACCATCTGGGAGGGAGTTACTACACTACGTGTTTGCTGTTCAACACCTACAATAATCTGTATGTTCACTGTATGTTCCTTTACCTTTCTCTAATGAAGGCTTTTGTTAAACCACCAATGTATGTAATAGGTCATTTATGTCCAATGTATATCTCAGCCTTCGGGCTGCAGAACTTTTTCAATAAACCGTCAATTATTATTATTATTATTATTAATTTGCACTCACTCGAGAGATAAAGAGTGAGGGGCGATATGACTGAGGTGTATAAATGGAAGTCAGGGTTAAACAAAGGTGATACAACAAAGGTACTCAGACTATCCAACCAGGAGCAAACTCGTAGCAATGGTTTTAAATTAGGAAAATTTAGATTTAGGCGCAAGATAGGTAAACAATAGTTTGGAAATAGAGTAGTAGAAGAGTGGAACAGGTTACCAAACATCATCATTAACTCGAATACACTAGATAGCTTCAAATATAGGTTAGATGGATATATGAGCGATAGGGGTTGGGTGTAAATGGGACTGCCTAGTATGGGCCAATAGGCCTGCTGCAGTTTCCTCCATTCTTATGTTCTTATGTGGGTAAGGTTAGGTGTGATTAGAGGTAGAAATGAAGGTCAGGTTCGTTCAAAACACAAACAAAAATCGGAAAAACATAATTTAATTTTCAAAAATCTTTGAAAAACGAAGATTTTCAAATTTTTCGATTTTCTCTTAACGTAATCATGAGCGGGCAAAACACCATAAAAGAAGTGTTAGATTCGTCACTACTGATTCCATTTTTTTAATAAAAATCGCTGGATTACCGAAACGATAATTTTACTATTTCAGGTGCACAACTATCATCACGTATTACTATTATGTAGTTGCCTTATCTACACACAAGCTGATTCGTATGGCTACCTGCATTGTTTAAATACATACTGAGTCGATGTGAACATGCATAACGATAATACAGAATAACACTAAACCGAACCTTAGTCCTGGTCTGGTTCCCAATTACACAACACATGTGCTTTATTTTCACTGTCAACAATAACATGAAAGTCAATGTCAATCAATGGGTAGATGTCAATTTACTCTAATTCACGTACATACTGTAAAATGATCAGGTAACGAATATATTAAACAAATTCCAATTATTTCCTCACAACACTTAAAACCCAGTTAGCAGAAGAGCGTCCAGCTCGGCGTAGTGTCTGGGGTTATCACTGGCTATTTACTACAAATTTAGCCGTATGCCAACCTATTTTGTAGTATACACGTGTTTTGTGGCTTATCAACACGTGGCATGACAATATTTAGGAGAAAATGAGGTTTTTAATTCACCAACTGACCTTGACACGCAACTATGAAGAATATATTGTTTACAATATGGCGTCCACGAGCAACACAACAGAGATGGTGTGTGTAAGACCACGGCAGTCATCACTTAACTAACTTATATATATATATATATATATATATATATATATATATATATATATATATATATATATATGTATGTATATATATATATATATATATATTATTCCTACGCTCATGGTTCTACTCTTCTCTCCCCTCTATTCTCACACTAGATCTGTTTCTAGACCTGCTATGATTTCATCGATCAATGCGGATCTATGCAGCATCTCCGAATTGGGAAGTAGAGACTTGGTTAAATTCAATAGCAATACGCAATCTCCTAACCTAATCTCAACTAATTTTACCTAACCTGACCTAACCTAACCTGACCTAACCTAACCTAACCTAACCTAGCATAATCTTCTCTAGTCTATTCTAGTATTCTAACCTAACCTAACCTAACCTAACCATCTGTACCGGTTCTCGTTTGCACAGACGCTCAATAAAGGTGAAGTTCATCAAGGGTTGGGCTTCATTCCTAATGGTCGGGTCATTTAGGTTAAAGGTCTATTGGGACGGGAACTATTTGACCAGTCATTTTGATTTAATTTGTTGATGATTATTTTCCTAAAGTGGGGATAGATTCACTCCGTCCAGCTGCCAATAGACCGATGCTATCCTGACAAAAGAAGATTTTTGGAGGGGCGAATTACCAGCAAACTTTATATAATTATACTATACATACAGAAAACACCATGTGCAGTTGATGAAGTCTATTAATACTGGGCGCCGGCGGGGGAAGGAGGAAGGAAGGAAGGGCGGGAGTGGTGGGGGGAGAGGAGGGAGGAAGGAGAGAAGGAGAGAAGGCGGGAGTGGTGGGGAGAGAGGAGGGAAGGAGGAAGGAGAGAAGGGCGGGAGTGGTGGGGAGAGGAGGAGGGAGGAAGGAGGCAGGGAGGGAGGGAGGGAAGGAGGAAGGGAAAGAAGGGCGGGAAAGAGGAAGGGGTGGGGGGGGGGGAGGGAAGAAGGGAGACACTAGTCATTTTACATCAATAGTTCAATGTTTGTATTAGTTCATGAGGTGAACACACTGACGCCTGCACTCCGTCACACTACACCATGGGCCACAGAGAGGAAGATGTCATTACCCCTGAGTTACTGTACTATAAATGGGACTCCCCTTCCCACCTGTACCCCTCCCTCCCTTCCTGGACTCCTCCCTCTCCATCTCCACCTCGACCCCTCCCTCCCTCCTGGACCCCCTCCTCTCCATCTCCACCTGTACCCCCTCCCTCTTCCTGGACCCCTCCCTCTTCCTCCCCCACCTCGACCCTCCCTCCCTCCTGGACCCCTCCCTCTTCCTCCCTACCTCGACCCCCTCCCTCCCTTCCTGGACCCCCTCTCCATCTCCACCTGTATCCTCCTCCCTCCCTCCTGGACCCCTCCCTCTTCCTCCCTACCTCGACCCCTCCCTCCCCTTCCTGGACTCCTCCCTCTCCATCTCCACCTGTATCCCCTCCCTCCCTTCCTGGACCCCTCCCCTTCCTCCCTACCTCGACCCCTCCCTCCTTCTCACTCTATCTTGCTTGTGGTCGTCTGTAGTTACTGGTGATGTTTTAACTATTTCTCCTCGTGTATATAACTTCTCTACCTCCTATATCTTGGTCTTTTTTTTTTTTTGCTTGTCATGACTGTCATTTATTAACTGTGAAGGTTGTTAAATAAGCCTGCCAGTATCATATGTCCTGTTAAGTCTCTGTTGCTGTGTCGAGTCTTTTAAAGTAATCAGTGACGTCAGGGAGCAGCTGTACTACGTCATTGCTGCCTGAGTAACTTTCTGGATGTTTACAAGTTGGTGTGTCTTCAGTAAACACCCAAACTCAGTAAACGGTGCTCACTGGCAGATGCACCACTTGAGCCTATTAAAAACAACAACAAAAACAAAAACAACAACAACAGCAACTCCTTGGTAACCGAGAGACTCGTATGGATGGTAATGCCTCACATGACGTCAGCCCTTGTGAATGAATGCATTTACCTACATAAGAATTCCTCTGTACATTATCTCTTATGTCCCTGGTGAAACAATAAGCACTGAGGTCAATATACACATACTTGAGGTTCGTGTGTATGAGTGTACCGTGAATCCATTTTTATTCTTCCTTCTCCGTAACGTAACACCTTCCATATGTTTTAGTTTGGCCCCTTTATGTTACTTATGGCGTCTAGTGTCGACTTTCATGGAGTTTAATTACTTATATAGAGTCGAGTTACTTACATAGACTCTGACCCTGAGTGCGATGAGTTAAGAATTGAGAACGATGTCTTGGTCCTTTGAGAATTACTTTACAACTATTTGCATACGATCACTTATTCTCTTGATAGAGGAAATTGTACTCAAAAGGTTAAGTCATCATACTCAAGGGGTTAAATCATCATACTCAAAGGGTTAAATCTTTTTTACTCTTGGTCTGGGTTTTAAGTTTAGTGTGTGTGTGAGAGAGAGAGAGAGAGAGAGAGAGAGAGAGAGAGAGAGAGAGAGAGAGATAGATTTACAACGATATGTATAAAGGTGTTTCAAAGCTTAAAGCAACGAACCAAAAAGCAACTTCATCTCCCGACCAGAGCCCCCAGCTGACAGCCCCTGGTGACATAGAGGCCGTAGGTCAGGGGAACTCACACACACACACATACGGCGGGAGATGGTTTCGACCTTCTGAACATCCCTGTTGGAAGTTTAGGTAATAATCAACTCACTCACACACACACACACACACACACACACACACACACACACACACACACACACACTCACACTAAGTAAGGAGCCTGGAGTCTTTCACTTAGAGGCCTATTAAATCTGATAACATCGACAGGTAGTCCGTTTTATCAAGCGAAAGACTCGGCTCATATCCCAGCTGCTTCACATGATCACATTAGGAGCTTGATGGTGCGTAATTTGGTCACTGGTGGGAGAGAGAGTCCGGTATTAGAGCGCCGTAGAGCTGGTCTGTGTGTGCGTTCTATTGGTATGTGTACAGTATGTCGCCTGTCTCTGAATCAACACGAGTATTCTTTAGGGACACCAAGGTTGGGTTCACGTGTACAAATAACTCACTCATGGAGGTAAACAACAGGTACTAAGTAGGTTAATGCCCGAGAAGCGAGTGGTGTATGATTACTGAGTAGGTTAATGCCCGAGAAGCGAGTGGTGTATGATTACTGAGTAGGTTAATGCCCGAGAAGCGAGTGGTGTATGATTACTGAGTAGGTTAATGCCCGAGAAGCGAGTGGTGTATGATTACTGAGTAGGTTAATGCCCGAGAAGCGAGTGGTGTATGATTACTGAGTAGGTTAATGCCCGAGAAGCGAGTGGTGTATTATTATGATATTATTATTATTTAAAAAAAAGATTGTTTACGTTCATCATAGATTCTTGTTAAAATGTCGATTTAGAATTTGGTCTCAGCAAGTTGGATGTCAGGTAATTAGAGGTGCCAGTGAGCTTTAAGTGATGGGTGAAGTCAATTGGAGGGTCATCACCTTCTGCAATAACCTGAAATTCAACTTTTTTCAATCATTTAATTAGCAGGTTGGAGAGTCCTACCTGTGTTAAAAAGTTTATATCCTTCATAATGTTGATATAGGTCCTCTTCAACATGCTGAATGACCCGTGATGACCTAACACATTACTGCTCTGACGAAGTGCCTTATATTTCACTGAAGATTTCGTTTCTTATCATAGCCTAAAACAGCTGAAGCAAGTTTACGTTTTATTACTGTCATCGCCTGCAACACAGCTTGACGCAGGCGACTTCAAAGTTAGGTTAGTTTGGATTAATATTTAAGCTGTTCATTTATAGTTTATATTGTTATTATCTAATGATCGTTCCCATATACAGATCAGTCAGAATTGTCGAAAAAACAAACAGGTTTAGTTTATGTGCAGCCCTCACACACACACACACACACACACACACACACACACGCACACACACACACACACGCACACAAACACACTAACTCTGTACAATAGCAACTTTTTACCAACTCCGCAGGACACGTGGGACATATACTGTACGTTTCAGGTTAGTATGTTATGTCCAAATTCCTGAAATGTATGTCCTCCACGTTTCCAGAGAAGTTGGTAAAAAGTTACAACTGTACAGTGCTGCCTGATGCATAGGTCGGCCTCTATAGTGGCCAACAAGTGATCGCGGTCCCTTCGTGCCCGGTTCGCCATCCGGCTGACAGCGTACAGCGAATGAGGGTGCGCCAAGTCCGTAGACTTGCATCGTTTTCCAGCGTAAATAAAATGGTTAATTAATGCCTTCCTAAAGAAACCATCGACATGAGACCAGGTTTGTTCCACTCTACGAATTTTTGGCGGTTTTTCTACCAAGTTTGATGAAAAACGATTGTGCCATTTCGGCTGCCCAGAACAGACAGACACAAGGCTATTCCTATAATATATTACATGTTGCCTGACGTAGGTATTCGATGCATGATGGAACAGAGCAGGTCTTTAACATCATTTGGTAGGTGGGTGTAGCGATTCTGTCTCTGTGTCAGGGAAGAAGCTAAATGCTAGTTGGTGGTAAGTGAGTTGTATAGATGTGTGTGTTTGCTCACGTGCACTGTCCTGAAACACATAGATGTATGCAGGAAATATCCTTCTTCTTATATAAATCACGTTTTGTGATTTTTTTGCGTAAACACACACAAATACACCAGTGACAACTGTAGTTAAGACATGCAGTAGGTGAAGGCCACAGCAAAGTTTAGTAACTCATTCTACCTCAGCTTTGTTACACGTACACCAAGAGACTATACTGTAGCTGCTGCTGCTATGGAGGCGGTCACTCTTGTTATAGCAGAGAAATAAACAGCACCCATTTACTACGCAGCAAGACTTGTCGTTAGGAGTGTGTTGGGGGAAGAAGTTTATTTTCCTTGGCCTCACATCTCCCTCCCAAGGTACAGAACCATCGGCTGTATCCTCGGCTGTATTATCGGCTGTATCCTCGGCTGTATT